GGATAACAAAGACATAAATAAGTGAGCGATCGGGTAAAATAAAACGTCGATCAGTGGAACCTTCTGGAAATTGATGAAGTTGCGACCGCTGAACCGCAAATCTACATTTACAGTTAATCTTGTCGAAGTTTGATTTGAATTCATTTAACTTGCGTGCAACAAAATTAAATGCTCAACTGTTTTTGAGTTGGAATTTGGTGTGTGAAGTGAAGAACCACCGAATTTGTCATTTCCCCTCCGTCTGTAGCAAATTGCCATCGCTCGCGAGGGTGACCTGCTGACCAAGGAGCGACTGTGTTGCGGCCTGTCCATGTTTGAGGTGATCCTGGCGCGCGTGCGCGGCTTCCTGGACGACCCCATCTGGCGCGGCCCGCTGCCCAGCAACGGCGTCATGCACGTGGACGAGTGCGTGGAGTTCCATCGTCTGTGGAGCGCCATGCAGTTTGTCTACTGCATCCCCGTCGGCGCACACGAGTTCACCGTCGAGTAAGTACAGGGGCATTTTTTTTCTGCCGGGGAATTCTTGATTTAAACACCAAAATGTTCAGCCTAAGCGTTCACAAAAGGCCGCTAGCTTAATGCTAACGCATGTGCAAATGCGAAACGCCGGAGACGGGATAACAGAAACTGGCATCGATGTGACAGTCATTATAAACCTTCAAATAGTTGCGACTTTTTCACATGACGCAACAACACACACAAAGAAAGTGTAACATTTGCGAATTTAACATCAAAAACACCTTGGGCTAACAAAGTTAGCGTCGATGAAAAGTAAACGTGTATTTAAACTCAAAATTTCAAAATGTTCAGCCAAAACCCCTATTTAGCAAATGCTAACATACACTTTAAACACCATAGATAGGCTACTGAAAATTTGCATACATTTAAACAACAAATTGTTCAGTCAAACTACATAAAAGTCTGCTAGCTTAATGCTACTATATAATTCGAAACACCATAGCTGGGGTAATGTCGCACGCCCCCCCACTAGGTACCACCGCTTGCCTTCTTTGTGCACGTTTGCCACCTCTGACTTCATTCCAGTTGGGTGTGTACAATGATCCTCGTGCATTTTTTTTTTCTTTTTTTCAGGCAGTGCTTCGGCGATGGACTCCACTGGGCGGGCTGCTTGATCATCAGCCTGTTGGGCCAGCAGAGACGCTTTGACATCCTCGACTTCAGCTACCACCTGCTGAAAGTGCAGAAGCACGACGGCAAGGACGAGCTCATCAAGAGCGTAGTGAGTACTGTACCATACCGAGAGGCGGGGCACACTCTGGAGTGGTTGTTAGCACACTCAAATTTACACCTCAGGACAATTTAGAGTCTTAAGTGAAGTTCGTAAGAATGTTTGTTTTTGGAATGCTAGTTTTTCTCCAGGTCCTTGGACAAACACACAATGTAATGTTTTTCAAATTAAGTAAATCCAAAGGATTTTTTTTTTTTTTTAAAACACTTGCACAAATGCGACCAAACGATGATACTGGATACCAGCAAATCAGGGTACCCACGTACACAGGGAAAAAAAATAAAATAAAGGTTGACTGGTTGGTTGTGCTTCAAGAATGCGTAATTTTTAATTCATTTTAAAAACAAAATGTTTATTTCTGGAAACACCAAAATGTTCATTTAAAATTGTTCTTTAAAAATATTTTCTTCTAATTACTTTGAAATAATCATTTTAAATGCAATCTTTTGTCATAGTTACGAATCAGTTTTTTTTCCCCCCCTTCAAAAATATAGTGCGAGTACTCAGTTTTTGGAATTATTTTAAAAAATGTATACAATGTAATTTTCTCACTTTTAAATGTGCTGGAATAATCTGAACGTTCCGAGCTCCTGTTTTCCCATGCCAGCTCACACTTTCTTTGGTCACATTGAACTTGTCTCTAGGCATCCATTTTGTGTCTATTTTTGTTTTCCCAGCCGCTGAAGAAAATGGTGGACCGCATCCGCAAGTTCCAAGTACTCAACAACGAGATCTTCGCCATCCTGAATAAGTACCTCAAACCGAGCGACGGCGAGAACATGCCGGTGGAGCACGTGCGCTGCTTCCAGCCGCCCATCCACCAATCACTGGCCAGCAGCTGAGTGCAAAAATATTACAAATATTCCCTTTTTGGGGTCAGGGGACTCGGCTAGCAAAGACCATTGAGTTTTATTCCCACAATAAAATTTTTGTATTCACACGTGCCTTATCGGGGAAATAGATTGTTTTATACTTCTAGATAGACTTTCTAAGAGATTAATATTTAAAAGATTTTGTGGTGTTGGTGGTGGTGATGAAGATGGAACATTAGAAGTGAGGTGAAGTTGTTTTGTTTTTCATATTTTGCATGCCAACGCATTTCCATTGACTGTGCCTTGACTTTTAATCATCCTTTTATTATTTCAATAAATATGTAACAAATCTGTTGGTTCATCCGCAGAGCTGCATTTTTTTTTCTTAAATTAAAATCAAAGTTACTTTCAAGTATCACGACAATTTGTAGTGACAGTGAAACCTGATCATGTTGAATATAAATATTTCCAGTGCACGAAAACAGAGTTTAACTCTCCTGTCTATGCTACGGATCAAATTGACCCAAATAAGAAGAAAAAAAAGTATGACATTTCTGGTCACTTGAATGAAAATGCTTTGTTTCACATATTTTCAACTTGGCGATCCGGTGACTGATAAATGCTACGGATCAAATTGACCCAAATAAGAAGAAGAAAAAAAAGTATGACATTTCTGGTCACTTGAATGAAAATGCTTTGTTTCACATATTTTCAACTTGGCGATCCGGTGACTGATAAACTGAACATGTTCATGGGTCAATATGACCCGCCCGCCGCATGAATTTTTCTTGCTGGCTGAACATGCAGCAGGCCACTTTGATCCATGATCATTTTTGGTATAGCAAAACAAACCAACATAACACGTGGTAACACATACCACGGGTCAAATTGACGCAGGAATGCAATAGGAAGGTTCAAGTCAGGAATCACTCGCCAAGTCACGAATAACAAAACAAAAAAAAAGTGTGTGGGGGGGGGGGATTGTGGTACTGTAGTTTTACCATTCTTCCATTTTCTGCAGGTAAATACTCAAGATTACAATAAAGTGGTGCCTTAAACTCGCTCTTCTCTTAAATCAAATGGAAATGCCATTTGTTAATTTGCCGGACCCCACCCCCCCCTAAAACATTATGTAGTGTGTTTCTAGTAAGAAAAATAGTCCATTACTTTTACTCAACTATGTTATGTTTTTATGAAGTCAAATACTGTAAAGTGCTACTTTCCTTAACATTATAAAAAATATTCATTGGCGGCTTATTGGAACACCGGAATGGATGAATGCAATCGGGAAAGCTGATTTGGAATAAGAGTGATTTGACACAGAAGCATTGTCCCAGAACAAAGCTGGTCTTGAGCAGCTGATAAAGTGAAATCTAAATGTCCATTTTACTCAAAACATATTGATAGTGGACCCTGCATACTTAGTTATATATTTGCAGATTTATTTATTGTACTTTTTTTTTAATTCTCAATTTTTTTTTAATTGATTTTTTAAAAATTTTGATGGGTGTTGATTATACAGAGATTTTCCCTGTTTGCAGGCTGGCCTCGTCTTCATCTCCGGTGAATAGCAGAGAACTATTGTATTGCTCCACAGCAAAATCTTGAGAAACTGGCTGTGATTTCTTGATTACTTTCCTGAACTGTATAAATGGAAGGGCAATTGTATATGCGCCATACATGGAGGTCAAGTTCATGATCTTCACTTCATAACTTCCTCCTTGCGTGTGGGGCCCACGATAAAAAGGTTTCCCACAGTGCCATCGTGGACAGTAGTGATTCCCAACACAGCCATCCCCCCCCCCCCCAGGCCTCACA